AGAGCTACGAAAGTACCATAGAAAACAAAAGAAGCATCTGATTGAAGGACGAAAGATGAAAGAGCTAGCACATTGTTCATGCTGGAAAGCTGCTCGTGTGAATACTAGTAGAGGGATTTGATCTACATTGTTAGCTCCTAAGGTCCAAACGCTTGAAGAAAATTAGAGAAGTTCGATGCTAGAAAAAGTATTTCTTCTATCCACTTTGATTTAAACAAATTCAATCAATCCGCAATCGCGATTGGGATTTAAATTTTAATTTTTCATTGCACTTCCCAATTCAACACTCTATACGTCATTGTTAACCAAGAATGGTCTGGTGCCAAATGCCACCATCGCTACTACCCATGACCAGATTGTCATCATTGACAAGAACTGGACTACCAACTGCGACTAAGACCTATCCTGTCTATCATCGAGGACTAAACTGTCGATGTCAATTGGGACTGGACCACTGGCATTGACCAAGACTTGTTTGTCGACTTTGACTAGGACTTAATTATTAACATCATGTGAATTGCCTTTAAATTTAAACATAAAATTTAAAATTTAAAATTTTAATTAAGACACAAACAAAGGATTTTAATATTATAACTTGAAATTTTTAACATTACCAAAACAAGGAATTGAGGATCTATGAACTTCAAATGTGAGATTTCAAATTCAAATTCTCAACCTAAATCCACCCATCCAAACACAACCTTACATTTTTTTTTCTTTGTCATAATGGTATTGTGTAGTACTTTGTAATCACATTTGATGTTTGTTTGATCATTTCTCATGTTCTAATAGTGTTCGTGAAAGTTTACTCTCACATGCCAGAGTAAAAATCTAGTTACTTAACGCTAACCACTCTTTTATGTGATATTCTTATTATTTTATTTAGGGCACAAATGTTATTCTCAAACTACAAATTTATTTATTTACTTGTTTATTTGTTTCTTCCTTGATTCTACTTTCTTTTCCGTTTTCTTTTTGCTATTCAATTTTTTTTTTGTCGAATGCAACTCTTTTTATGTACCAAACAGATTGTTTTCCGATCCAATAGTTCTCTCTTTTAACAAATAGGGGTAACCTTTACTTATTTTACAAAAAGGAATGATGTTCCATCTTCACTAGTCATATAATAAGATTTGACTGTGGAGGTCGAGAGAGCAAAACTATTTATAAATTGGTGAAAAATCATAGAAGATCTATTGAAGAATGCTATGATTCGATTCTATCTACATTGTAGGCAGAGGGGGCACGTAAAAAAAATAAGTTTACTCAACTTTATATGTATAATATATATATATATATATATATATACATATAAATCATTCCCAATATTTAATAATAGAGTTAAATGGTAAAGATGTCCTTAAAATTTTGTTCTAAGAGCACCCTATATTCTTAAATGAACAAAGGTGCATAAATACTCATGAACTTCTATTAAATTTGACTAATGTTCATTAAAGTTGATAGTTAAAGAAAAGGAAATATATATAAGGTGCAAAAATACCCAAAAAATTTTCTTTAAGAGCTTTTGGTATTCTAAAATCAATAATAATGGTACATCGGTATCCATTAACTTTATAAAAGAAGCCATATAATCAAACTCAGCCATAACAACTCGAGCTTTCAAACTTATTTAGGATGGGCGGGATACCTGAATTGTTATATTTTATTTTATTTTATTTTTTATTTTTAATTAATGTCAATTTTTATCTTAAAAAATTGAGATTTTCAATTGTTATTTAATTTTAATTTTTTATTAATAATGAAAAAGAATTCAAGTTTTGATTTGGCCTAGATTTCTTCAAACTTATTCAAATGGCTTGAATAAATTTGAAGTAAATAAATTTTTCTAAACTTTTAAACTTGATCTTAAGATATTTTGGATTAGCTCCATCGAACTTAGTCCAAATTATTGATTCTAACCTTTCTCAATCCGTTAAAATAATTTAACTTTGACTATGAAGTTCAAAGAATGGAATTTAACAAATTGAAAAAGGTTGTCTTATTTTATAAAATTAATGGATATACATGCATCATTACTATTGATTTTAGGATACCCTAAGCTCTTAGAGAAAAAGTTTATAGGTATTTTCACATCTTATATATGCTTTCTTTTTTTTTTTAATAGTCAACATTAATGGATGTTAGTCAAATTTAATGAAATAAAGATTGTTGCACTCATCATAACAAATTCATGAGTATTCTTGTATCTTTATTCATTTAAGAATATTGGATACTCAAAGAGAAAAAGTTAATGGATATTTTTACATTTTAACCCTAAATAATAGTATATCTAATGCCTCCTAAAATATATATATATATATATATATATGTTTCCCCTCATTTTAAAATTTCTAAATTATGTATTGCTTTTACATTGTCCATGGAGTCCTGTCAATTTGTTTTCGAGAATTGCAGTATGCTTGTTTCTTTTCCAGTTTGGAAGCAAAAGGCACTTCCCTTCGGTTTGGATGCTACATTTGTTGAATAGCTATGTTTTCATCTGAGTCTAAGCCATCAACAGGCATATAACGCATTTTGTGTCATGTTATCATTTGTTATGACTAAAAATAATAGCACAAGTCAAAGTGAATGGAAGTTGGGCTATACCTTGCCTAAATCAAACAAAACGTCAAAGTTAATTTTATAGATGGTTAATTGTGTTACTGTCTTCTGTATTTCAGCGCATGTAACCAAAAAGATTCGAAAATCTTAATTCTTAACGTGGATATTGGACACTGGCATACACAACTCAATGTTCTGTGTAGAAAAAACCTCCAACAATGTAGTTAGATTATATTTTTGTTGTGCATTGCATAACTCATTTTAGGGAGAATTTCATTATTGGACCACTCGTGAGACATTAATATTTAAAATTCAGGACCAATAAATTCTAAAAATTCACTACAAGATCAAGGGACTATTATGTTTTAGCAATGAGTTAACAAGTTACATTATAGTTTTAACAAGTTACGAGGATTGAATACGTAAAAAGTATTGCCAACATGTTTCATTAGGAAATTAACAAGTTGCATTAATAAAATAACAAGTTAGAGTTTTAACAAGTTATCAAAATTGGATATACAAAAGGTATTGTTGACATGTTTTGCTAGTAAATTTTTAAGTAGCATTAGTGAATTAACAAGTTAAGATTTTAATAAATCACTAAAATTGAATATATAAAAGGTATTGGTGACAAAATTCGCTAGTGAATTAATAAGTGGTATTAATGAATTAACAAATTATTTTAACAAATCAACAAGATTGAATATGTAAAAAATATTTGTTAGAAATTGTGATAGTGAATTAATCAGTAACATTACAAAAATGACAAGTATCATTATTAATAAGTTTACTTAGCCTTGATTTAGAAGTTTGTTTTCTTATATATATTTGGCATTATATAGCCAATGAGCATCATTGGCTTAATGATTATGAATTTTTTCGTACATCAACGGGTCTTGGGTTCAAACACATCCCTAATTACCTATGGGTATTTATACTCTTCCAACAATTATCATGGGGTGGCCAGCTGGTGGTAGGGTTCCCTCGAGGTGGAATTTTTTTTTTAAAAAAATAAAGATTAATTATCTTTAAAACATATTTTCAATTTAGTACCTCAATCTTATGGTGCATTTTCAAAATTCATTGGTCCTAATTTAAAAAATATCTTATAGGGTCCTATAACAAAATCCTCTCTTCATTTTTCATGTTTTGTTTAGTAGTTCTGTTTTTTTTTTTTTTTTTTTTTTTTGTTTAATGAGAGAAAAATTCCATTGAAATAATACAAATAACAATGAGATCTTATGAAATGTCATAAATCTTCTCAAGTCCTTAGAGACCTTCCTGATGTCAATGATTTTTAGTGAAATGACTAAAATATCTTTACTTTAAAAATAAAAAATAAATATCAATGATTACTTTAGTTTAAATAATAACTATTCTTTCTTTCTTTCTTTTTTATACGATGACTAAAATGGAACAAAAAAATTTCCCTACATAAATTTCTGATTTAATAAAATTCAAGTGTTATAAATATTTATTATTATTTTAATTTAAATAATGATTTTTTTTTCCTAACAATGACTAAAATGAAACAAGCAATTATAACATTTTCTATATAAATTTTTTATTCACTAGAGTTATAATTCACATAGGGAAAATTGTTATTGCCTATTCCATTCTAGTCATTTTTAAAAGAAAAGTAATCATTACTTAAACTAAAATATTCTCTAATCATTAATATTTTTTAATTTTAAATTAGAGGTATCTTAGTTATTTCATAAAAAATTACCAGCATATGAAAGGTCTTTAAAAACTTTGAGAAAAATTATAACATTTTTCAAAATCTCATTATCATTTACATATTTAAAAGGAATTTTTCTGTGATTTTTTTTTTTTTTTTGGGGGAGGGGGGACGTTATCAAATTATGGAAATATTGAATAACAAGCTGTTTTTCATGAAAATACAATTTCAAGAATATTCATGCATCCCGGAGGCAAAACTAGTTAATAGGTGCGCTTATTTATAGTCAAACCTGTGAGAAAACAAAAGGTTCGACTAGATAGAAGTTAATGCACAATTCTCCGCAAATTAAAGCATCTCAAGTCATTGAATTGAACCAAAAATTTAACATAATAAATAACATCATTTCAACATCAGTCTATCATTTTTTTCCCTATAAAATGCCCAAACAATGACTTTATGTTCAAGATAATTTAAATCCCCGACAAATTTTTTTATAAAAGCAATTGTAAATATTAATTCAAATAATTATAAATTCAAAAATTAAAATTACTATAAAATATATATAAATATAATTCTCAATTTATAATTAGAATTCATGTTTCCAACAGTTAAAATCAATATTTGCAACATGTTTGCAACTTTATTGTTCCCTAAATATTTAGTACTGCTACCTAACATCATGTACAGAACTGGAGCATCGGTAATATTTTAACTAGACAAACTAAACAAACCTCCATTCAAATACGAACAAGTATTAGTCAATGGGCTAGAATCAGTACAAGCCTCAGTACAAAATTTATTCTACCATTAGTTCCAAAGTATTCATTTAAATACAATGACAAAATTGAATTCTCAAACGAGAACATGACAAGCACCGCCAAACATTATCACAGGTGACCTCATAGCAACAAGGAGGGATTACGCGCCTAAAATACTCAAGTTACCTCCTAATTCTAATCTAGTTCTGTACATCTGATCAAGAATTGTCCGTATATATCATCCAAAGAAAAACAAGAAAAAAGGGCTATGCTTTATACACGCATCAAATATTGTGTTTGCCCAATTGTAGTCAGATTGAACTCAACCGAAGGGAACCAACAAGTGCAAATCTGATCCTGACCGATATAGCCATTGGGGAGTTATGGAGCAGAATGGAAAGATCAACGCTTGAATCGAAAGAATAAGTAGGTTTTGCATTTTACTTGCAAGTGAGCATATTCAAAAGGGAAGGGCTGATGCAAAATTAAGATTTAGAAAGGCAGCACCTCCGGCTTGTTCGGAGAAGGGGATTTGGAGGAAAGTTGAGAGTTAAACTCCACCAGAGAAGTTTCTGTGATTTAATAAGGGGAAAAACATGTTAATTTCAGACGAAAAGTCATCAACTTTTTATCTCTACCTCAAATATATCAACATGCATTTCCCTAATTTTAAAAATGGAATTATATTTCATCCTAATCTATCCACTGCAGAGGAAAAACATATTTGAATCAAACCCAAAGTCCAAGTCAAACACTACCGTTAGGAAAGAAAGGTAAAGGACAATTCAATAGCTCAAACATTTTTTTTCCCCAGTCAATTAAAACATGTTTTACCTGTCCAAAAAAGGAGAGGGGGAAGAGTTAGGAATGAGAAGTGTTGACAATATAGCAACAATATGAATTTGTATCTAAAAAACAACACAATAAATTACTTAAGAAACAAGTACAAGGTTGCGTGTGCGTGAGGGTTGGGGTCATACGTACATATATTGGGGAGAGTAGGAAGCAGGGAAGGAGAGGAGACAAGAAGCCCCTTTTGCCTTCTTTCATTAAAGCACATTTTTCGAGGCCTAGAAGGCTAGCATCGCCGTAGCCCCCTAACACATGCATATAGATATTTTACCCTTTTTTTTTTTTTGAAGCATCAGTGTAACATAAAGCATGGGTGTGACAGTGCACGGTAGAGGCAATTTGGTTATATTTCTAAGCAGAAGTGCAAAACGATTAAGATTAGTGAAAACTAACAAACCCTGCCATCATAGCAATTCAATGTGATATATTAACTCCTACTCAGTCATAATAAAATATTTACCTCTTAAATAACCAGGAGGGAAAATCATTACCTCTTAGTAATGTCCTGCTTCTTTGGAGGCTGGACTTTGTCCAGGTAAGGGGCAATTATGGCATCCAATTTCACTAACCATAGAGCAAGAGCTGATGAAGTATGGTGCATAGACGCAAAAGATGCAATGAGTTTATCAACCACACCATCAGGAAAACTAGATTGAAACAACCAATCCTCATTGATAGCACCAACGAAATCAGCAACAACCTACAAATAAGTGAGCAAATATCAGGAAATAAATATAGCAGTTTGAAGAAGAATACAATTTTAAACACTATGGAAAAGAAAAAACTACAAATTTGGGTGACAGAAACAACATTAAGGGGCCAAGAAAATAACCTGAAAAAGCTCAGTTAAAGTTGAAGTGCGTCTGAGTCGTCTAACCCACAGCTTATGAGCAGACTTCCTCCACGCACCCACCAGCGCATCTACAGGCATAACAGACTGTACAAATAGAAGCAAGACACCAAAAAACAGAGATATAAATATATATATATATATATATATATTGTAAACGTTCTAGTAAAGACAATATAATAAGCTAATATAAAATCCCCAGTGTCCAAGAAAGAGAAATAGTAGTATGAAAATCTCCGAGTTGTAAGAACATAAAAAATATACTATTCAAAAGTATCCATGTGGTGGACTCTTGGATCAGAAGTTAACAACAGTAATAAATTACCCAAAGTAGTTTCCATAACTGAGTTACTGGTCCAAACAAAACAAAAGGCAAGGTAGAAAAATATTAATTTTCCCTCATAAACCCCAATCCCAAGTAAATTTTAAACATTAATTTCTTTCCTACAGGCAAGAAACTTGCGATACTTTCAATTCATACACATTGATACCTAAGATATGGTGGAACAGAAACCAGACACTCATGCCCACATCTAATAAAAAATAAAACTTGGAACATACGAATGACAATTCACCTCAATAGCATAAATTGCAGCTTTCAGTGATTGGATCTGGGATGATAAGATTTTGTAATTTGGAGAAGTGTTACTGTCTTCTTTCTGCCTGCATGTGGCTGTGTGGATTGCATATCTTTCTTCAAGATCAAAGTCAAGCTCAAATGTCAAATGGCAAATTTTACAGTGTCTCTCATCTCTCCAGAATAAATCATGACAACTCTCACATCTGGCCAGAGAATCAATATAAGACCTTCTACCATATTTCACAACATTGAGATTTAAATAAAAGGAATTCCAAATCCATGAATCGTATGCTTGGAGACGGAGCCACTTTTGCATTTTTTCTGCTCCCTTCTTAGCAGCTTCAATTACCACAGCCCCAGCTGAAGGTAAAGAGTCACAGACCGTCTCAATCAGGCTCAGGTTATCTACATCAGATACTGGAGAGTAACTATCCCCTGTGATCCTATCAAGATCAGATTGATCAGAATTTGACATATGACATATTCTAGTATGGTTGACCATCGTCCTGGACATAGCTCTGCAAAGAGGGGCTTTCAGCTTCTCCAAGGATGCAACAAGAAGTGCCTCCCGTTTGCCTCTATCATCCAAAAATGACAACAAAGCACATAAAGCCTGCACATTATTTAAAATAATCCATTATTTAAAATAATAGGGACAATTATTAGCACTAAAATACACCAACAGACATATCAGAACACAGACTAACAGATATACTTCCTCTTCAATTCCTACATTTATATCATAGAATTACTGTTAGCAGGGGGAAAAATTCAGACATGGCTGCAAATCATTAAGGTTAGATCTACACCTCATCATTATCGATCACTTCCCAGTGACCATCTTCAGAAGATTCAAAGTAGACTCTCCTATGGCCTGGGTCACACACATTGCAAGGCCCCAAGAAAAGCCAGTATCTATTGTACCTACGGTCAGATCCCAAAAACACTGATTGAATGGGGTGTGAATTGGTTAAACCTATTTCAGTTGCTTTGTTCCCATTCTCAAAGGATTCCTCCTCAGTGTAGATATTTGAGAATAATAATGAGGAATCCACTGCATAGGACTGAGGATTCAATGATGAATGCCCTTCTCTAACATAATGCATTGGTCCAATCTGATTCCAACATGACCCAGGCTTCCTTACTAGCGACCTCTTTATTTTTGCTCCAGAACCACGTAACTGGATGCTCGAACTGTAATCAACAGTAACTTCTGCTGGATCCTGTGAAAAAGTTCATCAAATTTAAATTTATAGAACAAAATCATTTGACAAATTGAATAGGTTAACAAAAAACAAAACCAATATGCATTACTTTCATAAATACACAATGAGTAAAATACTTCGATCCTACTGCTTTTCCCACCTTTTGAGTTTTTTTTACACGAACACTACATATCCAAAACCAGTTTGTTATCTCTCATATTCAATTTTATTTGGTTGCAGGACATCGCATTGTCAGGACATTTTCACTCCAATTTGAAGCAGGGGTCACCATTCAAAGACAAAATAAATGACAAGTACTTTACCTTCATCCTAATGCTAGATCCAGAAGAAAGAAGATCAGTCAGAGCCACTATTGCATTCAACTTTTCTTCAATGCTCAAATCCGAATATTCACCCTCCATCAGTCCAAATAGCCACACTTCTCCTGGATGGCTCTCGTCAATTTCAGTTGATGCTTTGAGCATATTTTTTTTCATCGTAGAATTGCTTACCCACTTCAATTTCCTTAAGTTGGAGTTCCCTGAATCACATTCAAAATCATCACTGCTGCTCCATGTATTACCGTCATTAAGTTCATTATCTACACTTCCAGAGTCTTCTGTGTCTGACTGAATGTCATCAATGTCCTTAAACAAGCTCATGCGCAGTCGATATGCAGATGATGAGATCTTTTCAAATAAAGTAATATCACTCGACAGGGTTGAATATATTAAAGATTCAAGCTCCTCTGTTGTGCTGACAAGGTTCAATTCAACAATCTTCATAACATAAAAATAAAATTGAAATTCATCAGATGCAGAGAGAAATATTATACTCAAATCAAAAAGATAATAGTAAGAATTACGAACATTAAAAAAAAATAGCCAATAGTTATTTTCCATCCTACAGCCTTTTCATCTTCATAGAATTTACTCATTGAACCACTAAAGTTCTAGTTTCAACTAGGACATGCCATACATCATACAGATAGTTACCTGCATTGACTTTGCTAGTTCAGATACTTTTGACCCATTATTTCCTTGTGCTAACAAAATTTTAAACAACTCGCCCTTCAAAGTGCCAGCGCATAAGCCATACTTTACTAGGAGATTCAGTTCCTACAGAAAAAAAAGACACACAAAATGAAATGAAAGATAAAATATATATGTACTGATCACCTTGCATGATGAAAAAAGACCAACAAGAAATAAGATCCAGAATAGAAACAAATAATAATAATAATAATAATAAACAACCATTCTTGAAGCATCACCAACCAATTAAATTTATCCTGAAGAACTAAGAAGAGTGCCTGATTCTTTAAAATATTAAAACCAATAGTAACAAGGGAAGGGGGAAAACTGAATTTTGATCTCTTGTTCTTTTAAAACAAAAATGGAGCAATCAAAGCTCTACTAAATTATAATTTCAATAACGACAGGGGCATATCTGAGATGGAAAATACAGAAATTTTTAAAACAGGACTGGATTATAATAAATGATTAAAGTTTATACGAATCTTATAAATATTAGCCATTGATTTCATTTCTTGAGCTTGTAAAAGTTTATAAGAATCTTATAATAAATATTAACAATTGATTTCACTTCTTGAACTTGTAATTATCAAGGAGTGGCAAGGAAATGGACAAGATATTTGCTGAACAATCTACTACCTTATTTAACACTAAAGCAACATTTCTTCCTCTTTTGCGTGAGAAAAGATGAATGGCAAAAAGATAGATGCATTAACTATTGACTGATTTAGATCAATGAATTTGAAACGTAACTTTTCAATGACTAAGCATAGCACATGATCGGTTTGCAGTTTATCAAATATAATATTTAAATATTATGTTTACATGAAAATATATCAAAGTTGATAAACAAACAAGCAGACATATCCTGCTTAACCTTTTGCAAACAGACAACGCTTTTAAAAATAAAAAGCAACATATTTTTTAGATTATATATATATATATATACATCCATCTTCTAGAGTACTTGTAGTCTAAGCATATTAGACAGACAGACAGACAAGAAGATGTGTCCTATTTAACTTTACGCAGTTAAACAGCTTTTCAAAAAGATGTACCAATAATTTTCTGGATAAAAAGAATATCTTCCAGAGTACTAGCCTAAAACAAAATGTTCAGTAAAGTCTATTCTAGAATTGAATGCATCGAATACCTTGTTAAGTGCTTCTCTTCGCAAAGAAACTTGTTTTGAACCAAAGCCAGCGGCAACCAAAACTTGTCGGAGTATTTCTATCCACGTAAGTGGATTAAGTGATCTTTTCCAGAAGTCCAGAGAATATTCTTGATTTTCAACCTGCTAAATCTTTATTATTAAAATAGACATGGAAAGCTTCTTTACTTACCTTGACTTTAGCAAAAATAGGCAAGTGCAAGAGTTTCGCTATACTGAACAAGAAGTAAGTTATACATTAAGTCACTGTTACAGAATTGCAAGTCCATGGATCGCATGATCCATGGAATAGAGAAAAAAAAAATTATAAGAAATGTGGTGAAAAGAAAGCACTTCATAAAAGATGCTCACCGAGTGAAGCAATGCAAGAAAATTGCATGACTTATTTAGATGAGGCGGAAATCCGCCAGTAAGTTCCACTTCAATGTCAGATAGAAGAAGTGTAAGAAGGGCCACATGAATCTTTCCAAGAAGCATTGAGTCCTAAGAAGCATATGCAGGAGAGAGAGATGCATTTTCAACGTTAAAATCTATCATAAAGCAACAGAAAAAATAAAATTGAACAGGTATTTAAAGATTCTTCCATTAAGATAAAGCCTGGTAAAGAATGAGGTATTACCTTATCATGAAAGGCTTGAGCCAACTCATCAAGAGTGAAGGGGCAAATATTAACAACAGTAGCATATGTATAAAGAAAATGGAATACCTGTTAAAATGAAGCTAGCCATTTTCAGTTTTCCAATTGATGATCATTTGATATAAGCTTATAAGTTTCACGGGAAAAAAAAAAATACAAGATTCCAACATATTATCAAATCAACTTTAGAAGTTAAGAGTTGCAATGAATTATAATCAAATAAAGAACTTGCTTCCGTCTCAACCAAAACACAGAAAAGAAACTTGCAGTGCATCCCTAAGGATCCAACCTCAAGTAATACTAGCTACGGTGAAGTATTCAGTAATTCATCCAAGTCAAACTCAGAAAAAATCAATAAAGGTTTGTCTCATCATACGTCTAAATCAGGAAAGAAATTCACCAACTTTCACTTAATCATATACATAGCCTCCATGTGTGAGCCTGTGGGCACACGCACACACATTTATCATCCAAATTCTATCTACAAATAAAAAATAAAAGCAGCAGCAGCAACACAAACAACAACAACAACAACAAGAACAATAATAAAATAAGCCAGACAAAGTACAAAAAATATTGCACAACAACGATATTTCAAAGGGCACTAATCAAGCATGTGCATCAGTGTAAGATCAGAATTCCTTTCTCTTTTTCTTGATAAAATAATAAAAATAACAATCTGTTTTTTAAAAAGAAGATGAAATATGTTTTATTAATAAGAATTTAAGAACATAAAAAAAGAGAGATACTTATAAAACAGTTAAAGATAGATTATCCAAATGTATGCAGTCATAAAATCAGATCTTTCAAGTCACAATTTGTTGTTTACAAGTACCTTAAAAAGTTTCTTGACAGTTTCTGGAGAGGAGTCCCAAGGTTGCAAACAGATAGGCTTCTTCATCTTAACAGTATCTGGTGGAAACTTAGACAGCACATCTGTAAAAATCAGAAGCAATTGTTGACAGGAAAGAATCAGTTCAGTCCTATGAAGACATCAGAACATAAAACTTACTGCCGCTTATCGTTAAAAAATTATTTCTCCCAAGCAACCTTTACAAAGAGAGCAGCCAAGAATTCCACTGACAGCAAGATGATCAGAACACATATGCATATCTGCCCTTGCTTGTAACTCTCTCATCTCTAGCTCTTCATCATCAATTAACAATGACAATCGATCAAGTTCCTCCTCAGATATAAATCTACCCAAAACAAGTTCACATTTTTCCTTCCATGGTTGATTCTGACTTGCATCCTGCTTATATTTCACCTGACAGATAGGAGCAAGTTGTAAACTTGCCAAACAATTTATCATTAACCATGAAAAAGAAAATTTAACTTTCAATTTACCACTCTTCTTTGAATGAAAGCCTTCCTCTTTTCTTGTATTTTATTTCTTACATTCTGTAGTTTATTCTTTTTCCTTCCCTGTTCAGAACAAACAACCATCAAGATCTATAACTACTATTAACTGCAATTCACAAGCCAGTGCTAGTGCAGGACCAAAAACAGAGCACAAAATTTAAGAGTATGTAATTTACAGCATTGTTTAGGGTTTTGCATGGCTTATTGCCAACAACAAAGCCAATAGGAACTTCTGCAGCGTCTGGATTTGTAGCCCTCCATACTGTCATTAAACCCTTTCCAATACCGTGTTTTTTCAATGGTGCTTTCTTATTTGATTCAGGGTGACTTCCAATTGCACTCTCAGAAACCTGAGAAGAATAATTCAAAAGCATGGGAGGGGAAAAGATCGCCTTAGATTGGTTTAGTGTGCAAAAAAACAAATGATAATAATAATAGAAAGCTTTCTTTAAAAAAGAAAGGGGGGGTCAAAAACTAACCTTTCTCCTTTTAATTGGTCCTTGATCCCCTTGACAAGCAGAAATGGAATTGTTGAGACCTAAGCAATCAAAGATAATATCAACAAGACAAATTTTGCCACAAGAATTGTGAAGAGCGAGCTACAGAGGGAATTAAGGGTGAAGTGAACTTAGAAGATTAGAGATGGGATGAATATAACTCGAGATGAGTTCATTAAGTAGAAAGTGAAAAAAAATTGAAAATGAAGTCCCCTAGAGGTATAAGCTAATAAATCATGAACTTATCATGTCACACCATGAGGCCAATGGTATAAGCTAATAATATATTGTATAAGCTTGTATATCATAACATTTTTACACATCAAAATAATGTAAAATTTAATCAGACCTTTGTGGGTGGGACAAGGCTTGATAAAATTTTAATATATTATAAGATAAATTATAAGTTTATATTTTCCTTTCCAGCCCCCAAGCATTTTGATACACTCTCAAAGCCTTCATCTTGCAGCACCTTTGCTGCAGCCACCCCTTCATCTAAATATTAATGTATTAATATTAATATATCAATATTAATAATATATTAAATATATTAATATAGCACAAAAAATTCAAATGAATTCAGATATAGTAAATTTTAAAATAAAGGGCATATAGGACAAACGACCTAAGTTTCATTCTATCCAGTGTTGTAGTATACATCACCCAGCATAGGATACCATTATCTTATACAATATCTTACACAACGTCACACCAAACATTGGATGCTATTAAAATCTTATGAAACCTTGTCCAAACTATCTTATACTATATTGGGCCTTATCCTATTGGGTCCCATCCTGTATAGCATACTAAATGAATCATAAATGTATAAATTTCTAACATAAGGAAGAAGAAAATGAGGTAGAATCAGAATAGATCAATTAATGGTGAAAAACAAACACTTCCCTTAAAATTGTTTAGACATCCGTCCAGTACATAAGTTATGAACTAGTAAACAACTTAACATTTAAAAAAGGGAGTACCTACTGAATCCATTGCCAATCATCAATAAATAGGACTAATTTTAACCCATCACCATAGTTTTAAACAAAAGAGTAAGTGGAGAATACATTCAATAGCATACCAACACGGTGGAGGGATAGACCTGGAGGAAGAGATTCAAATTCCTCATCTAGAGGAGGGCCACCCATCTGGAACACCTTCAGAATGCAGTTTGCCGTAAACAACTCCTGATGACTTTTCTGCTTTTTCTGCCTCCTAACGCTCCTACTTATAACTGCATTGTATCCTGATGGTGAAGGAGAATTAGCTTCTGATTTGACAGATATCATTTTGAGCATCTCCTAGCAAGAGAAAAAGCCAAGACATATTCTCCACAATGAATCAAAAGTTCTTACGCGAAGAAGAACATGACGGCACTAACACTCCATTCTCTTTCTCTCTCCTCCTTTGCTCAACAAACCAATATTGAACTTGCTTATATGTCAACCCCAAAGCACCCGCAAAGTCTACAATTGCTCTCGGTGTTGGATACTTCTCCTCTGCACCACAACAAATTGGTGGAATTAAATCCCAAGGAAAATTAAGGGAAAACAGGATTAATCAAAAAAATAGATAAAAGTACGTTTAAGTATATTACTGATACAGAGGAACAAGAGCACACAAATGCGTTGATATAAGGTTTAAAATAATACCTTTATAAAAATTATTAAGGGCCTGAAGCTGAGAAGCCGTTTTCCTTTGAACTTTCATTGGCTTATTACAATATTCTGCAAGTTTTAAAAAAAAAAAATCACATAACAAAAAGAGAGAATGCTTTCGGCAGTGAATGTCACGGACGCGATCCTCACGGCGGAGGAGTCAGAGACTAGGAGTAGGACATAGTTGCAGAAAGCTAGTCAAGCGTTTCAAGAGGAAGAGTTTCTCCATTATCGAAGTATTGGAAATATGCGCAATTGAAACATAAGTGGCAGTAAGTTAAGACGAGAGATTATTTGACTGAAAATACAACTGCTATAGAGTTGCATTCAAAAGAGATATAACAGACTGATGGCTTCGCAGAAATGAGCTCATTTCTGTTTTTATTCCAAAGACTCCTTTACAGGCTACAAATACATACACAGAAGAAGTGGAAGAGCAGACACGAACTGTAGATGCCTCGAAGTGGTATATAATCAAGGACCATTTCCGAATTCGACTTCCAAATATACAATTGAATAACACTAGACTCGATATCACGACGACCTTAACTTGAAAGAAGACGCATACGGAAATGTTGCTGAGTCTGTTTGTGTATTCATGACAAGCGATAGAGAATGAAACAACGGTAGTACCTGAGCATGGTGCAACGTTGTGTTTCAGAGATAAGCTTGAAGGCGGTACAGTGTAATAGAGGAAGTGAGAAGTAGGGTTTTGGCTTGGGTTTTAGTATTGGAAATGGGAACAAATATCGGTTGCTCAAACTCATACATCATAGTGCTCGGAATAACCCTTTCAACGGATTATCCAACTCAGCTTATCTCCGAATTGATTGGCCCATCCGGGCGGGGCGGGGTAAGTGCTTGATTCAGATGTACCGGACCATCCAGGTCGGGAATAGTCCTCCCATTTGTCTCTCTCTCTCTCTTTTATATACGAAGTACAAACCCTTCTGCTTCCTTTTTTTTCTTTTCTTTATTTTAAATACAAATGGTTCATTTAATTTTGTCATTTTCTCATCACTTTTTTTTTTTTGCCTCAAGTCTTCAACAACAATTTAAATTCTTTAAAATTGACATATGTGAATTTTATTAAAGTTTACTTTTTAAAGGAAGAAAAAAATATTTTTATATTTTATAAAAAATGATAAAATAAAAAATACTAAAAAAAGAAAGATTAAACATGGGAAAGCTTCACAAAATTTAAACATATTAACTTCAAAAGATTTAAATTACTTCAACAAATATGGGGCATGCCTTGTCAAAGATTACAAGTGTAATGCCTTCTATCATTAACTCCAATCAAAATTAACTAACAGACAACCCTTAAATATTAAGGAACAATTATGATTAAAGAAGAATAATAATTAAATTTACAAAAGATCACTTGAAGTAGGGATTCCAAAAGCCATTTAAAAACCTTATTAAAGTATTTCCTTAAAGAATCAAAGTAGTATAAAAGATATGCAAAATCATGGAAAATAAAAATAGCATTGAGAAACAATCACATAGAAACAAAATAGTCATTTCCACTAAAACTTTAGTGTTTGTCGTGGCTGAAAGTTCATCCACTATTACCAGTGCCACTTGAAACCATTTGTCATGACATGTGGTACAAAGACCACTTCATCACAGCTAAAGGCCATGTCCACTATAGCTAGTTATAAATAAGCCATCCGTCGTGGTCAAACATACATTTGCCACTGCTGAAGCCCTCTGTTAGCATAGAAGAATAGTGTAATGACCCCATCATTAACCCTAAATAACCCTTGTAACCACTAACCCTTAACCTTAAGGATCAATCATGACTTTAAAATTTAATATTAATAACGAAAGATAACCTTAGTATTGGGATCCCAAAGATGCTAAAGAGATAAAATATGACACTTTCTAGAAATTAGAACATTTGAAACTTTCATACAGAAACATGGAAATATAAGGCATAACATAAAAAGGTGACTAAAAGGTAAAACAATCATTTACAACATCTCTATACTCATTTGCCATGGCTAGGTATTCCTTTGCCATAGCCAATTGCAGTTCGGTGTGCTTGCCACGATGGAATACTCACTTGCCACGACTAATTTACAAGTGTTGACTCACCGTGGCATTAGACATCCTTGCCATGGCTAACTCATGTTTACTTGTTCACCACATAGGCAATACAATAGATAGCAAGTTTAACTAAATTTTAAACCTTCCTAATTAATCACTCAAACCTCCATTTAAAGTGATCCAAGCATTCACATATAGTTAATTAAGAGATCTATCTAATGGCTCCAAGTTTATCCCATTCCAATGCTACATGTGGATTCTAAAATGTAACATTCTCAATTTTAAATCCAGATTAATTAAGCTTAAATATATTAGTAAAGTGAATCTTTGAGGTGTGTGGCTAGAAAGGCCTAACAGGCGTGTTTGATCTTAATTTCAATATCAAACGCAAGTCTGAAGGAGAATTGGGTCACTCGGGGATAGAAGAGAAAGAATTTTTGAAAAGAGTGGTTTTGTGCCACATGTCACGACGTGGAGTTGGTCCGCCGCAGCGCATGCATGCCAACATGCCTAGGAGAAGTAGCGCATGGCAGAATTTTGCAGTATTAAGTCACAAATTTAAAGTGAAAATGAAGAAAAAAACAAAAGAGAACGAAGGAGTGGTTAAAAAGTTGAGCTAGGGTTTGAAAAAACTGATTGTTGGAAGTAATTTAGGGCTCATAAACACCCAAGGTAAGTTTCCTAGCTTAAATCTTACTTTTTTCCTCCATTTTCTTGATGGTAGAGGTTAGGGTTTGATTTCTAATGGTGATTTTTGATCCATAGAGGTTATAGGTCCGAACCCATTGACTTAAATAGAGTTAGTGGGGATAGATTGAGATAAGTAAACTTGATATTTATGATTTTATGATAATTAATGGTTGGAGGACATTAAATATTCAAAATTCCCATAAATTTGGTGGTTGGGAATAATGTGGCTTCATTAATGTACATTTAAGAGCTTAATATTATAAATGAGAGTTAAAGGAAGCTAAGAAACCTTATGGTTACTTCTACATGAGTTTAGAATAAAGCTTGAGTATTAAGAAATGATGAAAATGCTAGTGAAAAATAGCTCAAAATAAATATTGATGTTTTACGTGGTATGCTTGTAGTGTAATTACCATTGGCACTATTCAAGCTTCTTGGAAGCTTCGGGAGCGAATAGTTGAGGGGTGAAACCTTTGACCTCTCAAAGGTTTGAGATAACAGGGAAAATTCTATCTTATGCTTGTATGTCTATTAGTTTATTGATTTATGAATTATTAAAATGTATAAACTAGAGAAAATGCAAGTGTGGCTTAATTTGTGAAGAAATCCACTAGATCAAATTTGTGAGTTTTATGCCTTATGATATAAAATTTTCTTTGAGAACAATAGTGGTGGATTTTTATATTAATGTTTATTAGAAGTGCAATGATTTTTACAAATTGAGAAGCAAAATGAATATTTGTTTATAAGGAGTTTAATGATGTTTGAAAATAGGGAAGTTCACTGATTTTGAAAGTGTGAAGTACAATGATTATGATTTTGGGAGTTCAACGACTTGTATGGCCTTGAAGTTCCATGAAATGTGTTTGAGAAGTTCAATGATTTTGTAATGATGAAGTTCAATGATTTTAAAAGTGTGAGGTATAATGATTGTGATTTAGGAGTTCAATGACTTGTTAGGTTTTGAAGTTCTATGAAATATGTTTGAGAAGTCCAATGATTGTGTAATGATGAAGTTTAATGAAAAATGATAATGTGAAGTTCTATGAAATGTATATGTGTGAGTTATGGCATGAATGTCCATTGCATGATCTTGAGAAGCGGGAGTTCACCTGGGAAGCAAAGTAGATGAGAAATCCACATAGTAAGGCCCCATCCGTGTGATGGATTGCCTAAATTAATTCCATCCTTACTGTCCCACTAATTCAACAAGGGATTATACCACTGGTTCAACGAGAGAGTCGAACCTAGCTAGCTATCCATCGGTTTAATGATGAAGTTAGTCTAGGGTGTATGACATCCCATAGTGTGAGAAATGGGGGAACTTGTGATCCATGAGTGAGTTGGGTACACCTTGGCCGGGTAATCCCCTCACAAGTGTTTAGGCTAGGGAAGTTAAAGAATATAGACTATCCCATTAAGTTATAGCCCACGGTTTCGTGTCAGAGGAATAAAGAGGTGATAAGGGAGGTGTGATTATGCATGTAGTGAGTAAAGACACTTGTTGTCTATATTGAGTCCATAATGATGGTATTTGAGTTGACTATTAATTTTTGCTATTATACTTGTCAATAATTTGCTTGATCAACTCTATCTCTATGAAAAGTGCTAAAAGCAATATTTTGAGTTGAACTGCGAATATTAAGTTTTCAAATTTCTCGTATGGATTAGAGTATTAGTATTAATTGTCACTTGCATTTAAACTAGATGTCATGCAATAGTATGGGCTAGTCGAACCTTGGTTATTGAGTAGTTGTATTCACCCTGTTATCTTTAATATTTCAGGGAATAGCTCAAAAAGTGTGGACAGAGGAAAATAACCCAAGGCTTAAGATCATGATCCACTTGTAATAGGCCTCTTTATTTTAGGTAATTTATGTGTATGACAATTTCAATTGCCAACTAAGATTTCCTTTTTTGTTACGTACTTGCATTAAGAGAAAAGTAAATTGTAATGGTATTTTAGGCCCTAAGGAGAGAGTTGATTATTATGTGTTATGTTGATCGGGCCAAAATACTAATGCAAGTGAGGGTAATGCATATTATGTGATAATTTTGGAAATCTTAATGAAAATTGTGGTAAACTCCCCCTTCCTATGATTTTGAGTTAAGGGGTTGAGTAGTAGAAATTTAATCTGAAAATATTTTTTGGTTGTTTTGGTGCTCTGCACGAGTTAATTTTGTTGAGTTGTATGTGGTCATTTGGTATCAATGGCCATTGGTCCTTAATTTTGGGATAGGACACTTGAAATTTGTGAAAGTTGAGGTAAAGGAGTAAGTTTTGAAAAGGGTGTCCAATTCTTGTTTTAAAAATAATTTAAGCCTGAGACCAATGCTATTAGTTAGAGTTTGGAAAGAGCTTTTCATAGACTCCTAGTTTACATCATTTGAACATCGGATGGAGATTTAAGCCGCATCAAAAGTTGGCCCTCAAGTTGTCAAATTGACAGCAGAACTCATTGTCAAAGTTTGTGCATTTGTGCCACGATGCCGGTGCATGTCACAGAGGCGAACACGCCACGACGCATGTCCAATGAGCCACAACGCATGCCTTTTAATTTTTTTTTTAAAATTTTTCTTGTTCCAGATTTTTGCACCTATGTAACCACTTATGTGATAATCTCTTGCTTTCGCGTATTTGCGAACTTTGTTTTGCCTCTTTGCAAGACTTGATTTGACTTTAAATTTATAATCTTGGGGTTCCCATTTTGCCATATATACAACTCAAGTGTCTCCCCTCTTGAGCCAAATCATATTCACACTCTAAATGTACAAACTACAATCATGCATAGATAGATAGATAGATAGATAGATAGATATATATATATATATATATATATATTAATTATCATCAAAACACATTGCAATATAGGCCTTCCCAAAAACATGAAGACCCCACAATAAAATACCCAAGTCAAGCAATAAGGGTCACATGTAAGTGTCAACATAGATAACATGATACAATCAATTCCCTAAGTTAGCAAATTATGCAATCAATTACACTACAAGGAGACTCGAGACTTTATAACAACAAGTTCTAGTCCTTGGCCTCAGAGGATTCCCCTTTTCCATTCACCTTGTCATCCCCTGGAAAAATTGTTAACAATCAGGAGTGAGATTATACAATGTC